GACGCTGCCTGCCGTCCGCTGTCTGGCCTGCTCCTCAGCTAAGGCGGTCCGGGTCAGCGTCACGTGCCCGGGCGTCCACCGTCCCCCGCTAAGCTGCCCACCCTGTCGCCCACCTTCTCACCTCACCGGGGCCGATGGCGGTCGGCTGTCAGGAGGGGCCCGGCCAGCGTCTGTCTATTCTGCCTTCCCTGTCTAGCTTTCTGAGAGCCTCAGGCGGGACCGGCAGACCTACTTCTCGAACTGCCCTTTCCGCTCAGTTCTGACCGCCTCGAACCCGAGAGCAGGGAGTGTGTTGTGCAATGAAAGGGAAATTGTCAGAGCAAGGTTCGTTTCAGACGGTCTTTTAATCGGCTTCGTGAAGCCAAAGAAAACTGCGTACAAGAATTCCTTAACCGCTTCAGATACAACATCAATGGGTTATGCATACGTCTTCCGGTAAAAAAAGACAATATAAATAAACATTTTCAAGAACCTCTCGAAGGGACATCTGCAACTCTTGCTGTGCGTCATACACAGCACGGAAGGGCCGAACAGGCCAGGCCCGGGGCGGCCGGGGTACCTCTGCCACAGCCCCGGCATGGGTCCTACCACGCTACACGCAGAAACAGCACACAGAGCTGGAAAAAAGCCACAGCTTGCTGAGCTTCCGGCAAAAAGCGGATTCAGAGTCCATTCAATCTTAAAGAGAAGTGAACCGGGGCACCCGACCTCACGGGCCGACCCCACTAAAAAGAGAAACAAAAAAAGGCAACACAACCAAAACCAAAACCCACACAACCCCCAAAGATTTCCTAAAAAACTTATGGCTCAGGGTGAAAAGAAAAAAAAACCCAAAATCTGAAGTGCTTTTCAGAACATTTTTAAAACCCTTAAAAACTGACAACGCTTCCTTAAGAAGAGTAGTCTAGGAACGAAGCCATCTGGGGGTCAGAAGCAGTCAGGCTGTGTTTGGCAAGATCAAAACGGATAGACTACAAAAGTGGGTACAAGGAGGTGTGTTCACTACACATGAACGATTCAGCGAAGCTCCCAAAATCTTTAAATATACAGCCATTGGAAGGACGATCTTGAGCAGGAAGGATTTTTACTCGTTGTGTGTAGCTGAGAACAAGAAGCAGGGACATGTAAAGGCACTGAAGCACGCGACAAGACGCAGCATCCGCTCCCGGGTCCAGACCTGGAGGGCGCGGCCCCGCAGCCTCAGGAGAAACCACCCCCCCCACCAGCTGAGGGCGGGGCGGCAGGCAGGGCGCGCATGCACTTCTGCTGCCTGCGCAGGGGGGAGGGGCCCTCACTCTCCCTTTCCTTCTTGGTCACTCTGGTTCTGCCTTTACGTTTTGTGGTAGAAACGGCTGCTGGCACAGAGACCGAGAGGGCAGTATCGCCCCTTCGAGGCAAGCACGGTGACAGAGTCTGAGTGTCGCTCGCAGAGGGCGCCAAGGCTTACTGAGCTCCCAGTGCAGGCCCCGGCGGCGAGGTGCCCTCGGAGCGTGACTTACCGTAACTGTCGTAGCTGTCTCTGTAGGACCCGCCTGAGCTCCGGTCGCCATAGCCGCCACCTTGACTCCGGCTGCAAGGAAGACACTTGAGGCTACTCAGGCCCGCGACAGCAGCAGAGTGGCCCGGCCTCAGGCACTGGCACCCGCACGCCCTCACCTGCTGTAGTAGTCTCTGGAGCCTCCATAGCCCCCACTCCTGGACTCAAACCGGCTCCCTCCATAGCCTCGATCCCCTCCTCCTGCAGACAGGGACAGGAAGAGAGCGTCAGCCCCCGCCGGCAGTGTCC